TCTACATCCCTACAGAGACAGGCTACATTCTTCTCGTAAACTTGATGACACAAACCTCGATTGCTTCTGCCTCTGAGTCTCTTCGGGTTCATGCCCCTTGATGGGTCTGAAGTTTAGTTTCCGCCTCTTTTAGTTGGTGAGTCCACAGGAGCAAAAAGCATAAATCTGATTATTTTCTTAATAACTCACCTGTAAGATTCTATCTTACCGTATATGCTTTATAACCTTCTTTCTTTTCTTTCCTCTTTTCTCCTCTCCTTTTCCTTCCTTTGTTCCTTCTTTCCTTCCTTCTCTTTTTCTTTCTTTTTCTTTTTAAGTAGGGGCTTGAACTCATGACCCCAGACTAAGACCTGAGCTGAAATTGAGTCAGATGCTTAACTGATTGAGCCATCCAGGTGCCCCACTGTGCATTGTTTTAACAGCAAATTTAATGTAAAGAATTATTAGAGGAGCGCCTGGGTGGCTCAGTGGGTTAAGCCTCTGCCTTTGGCTCGGGTCATGATCCCGGGGTCCTGGGATAGAGCCCCGCGTCGGGCTCTCTGCTCAGCAGGGAGCCTGCTTCCCCCTCTCTCTCTCGCTGCCTGCCTCTCTGTCTACTTGTGATCTCTGTCTGTCAAATTAATAAATTTAAAAAAAATCTTTAAAAAAAAAAAGCATTATTAGAGACACCAAATAGCCAGAGTATTTCTTGAGAAAGAACAAAGCTGGAAGCATCATACATCCTGATTTTAAACTATCTTACAAAGTATGGTGTCACATAAAAACAGACACCTAGGGGCGCCTGGGTGGCTCAGTGGGTTAACCCTTGCCTTCGGCTCAGGTCATGATCCCAGGGTCCTGGGATCGAGCCCCGCATCGGGCTCTCTGCTCAGCAGGGAGCCTGCTTCCCCTCTCTCTCTCTGCCTGCCTCTCTGCCTACTTGTGATCTCTGTCAAATAAATAAATAAAATCTTAAAAAAAAAAAAAAACACAGACACCTAGACCAATGGAACAGAGTAGAGAACCTAGGAAGAAAGAAATGCATATATGACCAATTAATGTATGACAAAGGAGCGAAGGCTATGCAATAGGGAATTAACAGCCTCTTCAATAAACAACGTTGGAACAACCACACGGAAAAGAATGAAACCAGACCACTATCTCATGCCATACACAAAAGTAAACTCATAATGAATTAAAGACTTGAATGTTTAAGATCTGAAACCATAGGGGCACCTGGGTGGCTCAGTGGGTTAAAGCCTCTGCCTTCGGCTCAGTTCATGGTCCTAGTGTCCTGGGATCGAGCCCCACATAGGGCTCTGTGCTCTGCAGGGAGCCTGCTTCCACCTCTCTCTATCTGTCTGCTTCTCTGCCTACTTGTGATCTCTGTCTGTCAAATAAATAAATAAAATCTTTAAAAAAAAAAAAAAAGATCTGAAACCATAAAACTCCTCAAAGGAAACCCAGGCAGTAAGCTCCTTGACACTGGTCTTGGGATAATTTTTTTGGATCTGACACTAAAAGCAAAGGCAAAAAGGTAAAGATAAGCAGGGGGACCACAGCGATTTAAAAAGTTTCTGCCCGGCAAGGGAAAAATGAAGAAGCAACCTACTGAATGGGAAAATATATTTGCAAATTATATGTCCGATAAGCGGGTAATATCCACAATACATAAAGGATTCATACAACTCAATAGTAAAAAACCCCACACACAATCTGATTTAAAAATGGGCAGAGGATCGGAAGAGACATTTTTCCAAAGAAGACATACAGATGGCCAACAGGTGCGTGAAAAGGTGGTCCACATTATTAATCATCAGGGAAATGCAAATAAAAACCACAATGAGGCATCACCTCACACCTGCTGGAATGGCTTTGATCAAAAAGAAAAGAACAAGAGCTGGGGAGGATATGGAGAAAAGGGAACCCTGTGCACTGTAAATTGGTACAGCCACTATGGAAAACAGTATGGATGTTTCTCAAAGAATTAAAAGTAGAACTACGGTGTATAATCCAGCAAACCTACTTCTGGGTATTTATCCAAAGGAAGCAAAAATACTAACTTGAAGAGGTATCTGTTTTTTTTTTTTTTTTTTAAGATTTTATTTATTTGACAGAGAGATCACAAGCAGGCAGAGAGGCAGGCAGAGAGAGAGGGGAAAGCAGGCTCCACGCCAAGGAGAGAGCCTGATGTGGGGCTCGATCCCAGGACCCTGAGATCATGACCTGAGCCGAAGGCAGAGGCTTAACCCACTGAGCCACCTAGGCGCCCCGAGGTATCTGTTTATATTCATAGCAGCATTGTTTTTATTTATTTTTTTATTTTTTCAATTTTTTCAGGTTTTATTTATTTATTTGACAGAGAGACAGAAAGAGATTTCAGGTAGGCAGAGAGGCAGGCAGAGAGAGAGAGAGAGAAGCAGGCTCCCCGCTGAGCAGACAGCCCAATGGAGGGCTCCATTCCAGGACCCTGAGATCATGACCTGAGCCAAAGGCAGAGGCTTTAACCTACTGATCATAGCAGCATTGTTAACAATAGCCAAGACCTGGAAGCAACCTAAGTGTCCACTGGTGTATAAATGGATTAAAAAAATGTTGTGTATATATATAGACAGTGGAATATTATTCAGCCATAAAAAAGGAAACCTCACCCTTTCCAACAACGTGGATGGACCTTGGGGGTATTATGCTAAGTGAAATGTCAGAGAAAGAAATACTGTATGATCTCACTTCTTTGTGAAATCTGGGGAAAAAAAACAAAACCCAGGGTGCCTGGGTGGCTTAGTCGTTAAGCGTCTGCCTTCAGCTCAGGTAGTGATCCCAGGGTTCTGGGATCGAGCCCCGCATCCAGCTCCCTGCTCAGCGGGGAGTCTGCTTCTTCCTCTCCCACTCCATCTGCTCCTGTTTCCCCTCTCACTGTCTCTCTCTATCAAATAAATAAATAAAATCTTTAAAAAACAACAACAAAAAAAAACCCCAGAAACAAAAACAAAAAAAACTGAACCAAACCCTCCCCTCCAAAAAAATCAAACTCATAGATACAGTGAACGAATGGGTGGTTGCTAGAGGTAGGGGTGGGGAGGGGAGGGATGAAATGGGTCAAGTTATAAAATAACTAAATCATGGAGATGTAATGTACAGCATGGCTTTTAGAGTAAATAATATTGTATTTGTAAATTTGAAAGCTCCTAGGAAAATAAACTTTAAAGGTTCTCACAAGAAAAACAATTTATAACTATGTGTAGTGATGGATGTTAACTAGACTTTGGGTGGTGATCATTTCACAATGTATACAAATATAAAATCATTACGTTGTACATGAAACTAATATAATGTCGTATGTCAATTATAGCTCAAATAAAAAAAAAAAAGAATTGTAAACCAGGTGAATTAGCTACTTATTTCTAAGTAACAAATAACCCCCCAAAACTCTGTGGCTTAAAACTAAGCATCTAGAACCTTGCAGTTTGGAGGGGCGAGGATTTCAGAAGTGGTGTACCTACCGGGTTGTTGTTCAGGGTCTCCCATGAAGTTGCGGTCACAAGGTCAGCAGAGTCTACAATCATCTGAAGGCCTAATTGGGGCTGAATGATCTACTTTCAAGGTATTTTCCTCAGGGTGCCTGGGTGGCTCAGTCGGTTAAGTGTCTGCCTTCAGCTCAGGTCATGATCCCAGGGTCCTTGCATCAGGCTCCCTGGTTAGCAGGGAGCTTGCTTCTCCCTCTCCCTCCGCCTGCCACTCTGCCTGCTTGTGCGCTCTTGCTCTCTTTCAAATAAATAAATAAATAGTCTTAAAAAAAAAAAAGGTATCTTCCTCACATGACAGGGGTCTCGGTTTCTTACTGGCTGTTGCCAGGAGGCCTCCTTCCTCATTACATGGGCCTTTGCACAGGCTGCTAGAGCGTCCTCAACACACAGCAGCTAACTTCTCCCAGAGCATGTGATTCAAGAAAGCACTAAGTATAGCCACTAAGTTTTTTACAAACTCCAACATTGTTCCCACATTCTGTTGTTTAGAAGCAAGTCACTAAGTACAGCCAACACTCAAGCAGGGCATTCAGCTCTACCTCTTGAAGGGAAGAAATCAGAGATTTTGTGAACCTACATAAAAAGTAAACATACCAGATGTTACCAACATAAAAGGCAAGAAGGGACGCTGAGCAGTAATTTCAGGGAGCAGCCATGAGTTGGGGGAACACCTGGAAGAGGCTGGAAACCCAAAACTAAGGAGTTTAGAGAAGGGGGCCAAGGCAGCAAAGAGGCACTAACCCGCCGGTGTCTCTAAACCCAGAGGAAGTTCTCATGGGGCTGGGATTCCAACTGTGGTGGAGGGGGCAGCACCACTCAGCTGTCGCTTGTGTTCTGTTTTTTTGTTTTTGTTTTTTTTTTTAAAGATTTTACTTATTTATTTGACAGAGAGATCACAAGTAGGCAGAGAGGCAGGCAGAGAGAGAGGGAAAAGCAGGCTCCCTGCTGAGCAGAGAGCCCAATGCAGGGCTGGATCCCAGGACCCTGGGATCATGACCGAAGGCAGAGGCTTAATCCACTGAGCCATCCACGCGCCCCCTCGCTTGAGTTCTGAGCAGGCATAGGGAAGCTGGTCTGTGAGTGTTAAAAAAGAACGATCAAAACCTGCAAACCAGAACCAGGTGGAAACTGGAGTGAATGGTCATTTCCAGAAAGAATTGCTGTTGGAGCGACACTCGCAGCACTGTTCAGCAAGCAAGGAGCAGGCCCTTCTACCTCCTCCAGCCCTCCAGTCTCACCCACGTGCCCCGGACTGGTGGATCCTCGTAGGGAGGCAGAGTCCACATACAGGTTCCCCGGTCTTCCAAAGTAGAGCATTCCCACTGTTAAGCGGAAAAGTCTTCACATGAAGGAGTGACTACTGTTCATGTATGTGGAAACATTTCTGAGTGTTCCAGACCCTCCAGAAACAACCTTTTAGGTTCTTCTGATACCTTACCACACACCGTGGCAACGGATTCACAAAATAAATTGAGATAAAGTCCGGATACTCACAGACACGATTCAAAGCTCAGGTGGTTTTGAGGCTGAGATGCTGAGTGTAGTTCTCAGGAAAGGCGCTTGGTGGCGCCACTCTCTCCAGTGAAGCCTCTGTAACCACGCTCTGCAAAACAGACATTGAGAGCTATTTTTGGTTTTTGCCGTTTTTTGTTTTTTTCCCCCAAAGCAAACATCCTCTTCTGATTTCCTGCCATTAGCACAAACAGGTAGCTAATGCAGGTCGTTCATAAAAGCGAAGTGGTGTAACGTAAACTTTCAAAAAGTGTGGGATACCTGTACTCGTTTATGTAATAAAGATACGTACTCATTTAATAATAACTGACATTATCCAGCGCTTCCTGTATGCCAAGCAGTTTTAAATTACGTAATCTAAAACTCTAAGAGGTAGGTGTTATTCTATTGCCATTTTACAGGTGAGAAAACGGATGCACAGGAAGGGTAATTTGCCAAAGTCACACCTCGAAGTAGGAGTGGAGCCAGGATTTGAACCTAGAGAGCTAGTTCCACAAGCTGTGAGCTCAACCACTCTTGCTAACCTGTCCTGATACCAAACATCATCCCGCCAGGCGGTAGAATAAAATGTTGAGCAAAAACAGACCCAGTTTGGTCCCCACGGAGCTGGTGGTGATCTAGTGGCAAAGACCACTTTATCCACTCACTACAAATGAAAATGAAGTTGAAACCATGTCTGGTGCTCCAAGGAATTGCACTGATCATGATAGACTTCTATTGAAAAAAAAAAAAAGAAAGAAAAGAAAAAAAGACGGAATTTGACGTACATAGGGGTTAGGAGTGGGAATGGGGCCAGACCGAGGAGGGGCTTATAGCCCAGGAGGAGGAGGTTTGTCTTTATCCTAAAAAACAATGATAGTAAAAAAAAAAAAAAAAAAATAATAATAATAATTAAAAACAAAAGACAATGGAAGTCACTCAAGGACTTTCACCGGGGCTGTGGGGATGGGAAATGGTGTACCAGACTGGACCCAAGGAAGCTGGTTATGAAGCTGCTCTCCTGGTGGGATACGGTGATGGCGGAGATGGGGAGCATTAGAGGGAGCTGTAAGATGGAGGGAATACTGAGAGGATATGAAGAATGGGAGGTTGGAGAGGAGGTATTAAAGGAGAAGGAGAAATCAAGTACGCACGGTCCCTTGAAGGGCGTTGTCATCACCGTACTGGGGAATGGGGGAAGGTCTGACCGGACCAACATTTAGGCAGGAGAAAAAGATAGATCTTGGACACTGATAGGATATCAGGTTCTAAAGGAGATGGAAGACTAAGTTTTTAAAATATATCTTGATATAGCTGCACTATTGAAAGTATTTGCGACTAGCCACAAGTGGCTATTTAACCTAATTAAAATAAAAATGGAAAATTCAGGGGCACCTGGGTGGCCCAGTGGGTTAAAGCCTCTGCCTTCGGCTCAGGTCATGATCTCAGGGTCCTGGAATTGATCCCCACATCGGGCTTTCTGCTCAGCGGGCAGCCTGCTTCCTCCTCTCTGCCTGCTTCTCTGCCTACTTGTGATCTCTGTCTGTGAAATAAATTCTATTAAAAAATTAAAATTAAAATTAAAAAAATGGAAAATTCAATCCACACGTGGCTAGTGTTTACCTATCGGACAGGACAGATAAAAGACGTTTTAATTGCTGCAGGAAGTTCCAATGGACAGCACTGCTCTAACAATTGGCATTATTTGATGTTTTGTAGTAAACAAAGTCTGTTCATGTCCATCTTTGCCTTTAATCCAGTGTGATGTTGTTGTCTTGGTTTTCTAAGAGTTCGAGGCAATGCTCTAAACATGGGCATCTACCATTTGTTGTGCTGAGCTCCAAGACAGTTTGACTCAAAATATGGACTGTACCAGGTGCCCGTTTGTAAACTTTTTATGACCTGCTCAGGATAATAAAGTACAGAAATTGAGAATAAGATCTGAGAAAGTTTCCCAGCAAACTGGCATTGCTACAGTATTTCACTGTACTTCACATAAAGTACCAGTCTACAGTGAATTACTTACTTATAATTTATTTTAATTTACTTTTTAAAGATTTTTAAGTACTCTCTACAACCAAGGTGGGGCTCGAACTCACAACCCCCGAGATTGAGACTCGCATGCTCTACCAACTGAGCCAGTCCGGTGCCCCTGGATTGGAAATTTAAAATGTTGGTCCTTCATTACAGGTGATGAAACGGCAGCACACTGCTCGATGGCATGCTTTGGACGTGCTTCCTGCCCTTCAGGGCTCAGGTAATGATGGGAAGGAGCCAGAGCTGACATCAGGTCTACTTGAGTTGAGCAAACATGGGCATATAGACCTGATAAACATCTGATAACAATTCAAAAACATGTAAAGAGGGGCACCTGGGTGGCTCAGTTGGTTAAGCATCTGCCTTTGGCTCAGGCTGGGATTAAGTCACTTATTGGGCTCCCTGCTCAGCGGGGAGCCTGCTTCCCCCGCTCTCTCTCTTCCTGCCTCTCTGCCTACTTGTGATCTCTGCCTGTGAAAGAAACAAATAAAATCTTAAAAAAAAAACAAAAAACCAAACACATAAAGACACTCATTCACTTGTTTATTCACCTGGAACTTACTGAGTGCCTGCTATGTGCCAAGCACTATACTAACTAAGCACTTGGGATACAGCGGTGAACAAGATAGACAAAGCCTTCACCCTTCTGGAGCTCATATCTAGTAAGAGACTATACACGAGTTCACTAAATTAATAAAACAATCTCAAGGAGTGCTCAATGCTGAGGGAAATAAGAGGGACGGAATACGGAGTGACTGCAAGATGAGTGCTGCTGGTTTATAGGGTGGTCAGGACTCTATCGGAGCTGAAATTTGAAGACGGGCATGAGCCAGTAGCACACTGATGGAAGGGAACAGCATTCTGGGTAGTGGGAACAGTCAGCACAAAGGTCCTTAGGTGGAAGGGGTTGGCTTGTGTAATAGGAAGGCCAGTGCAGCTGCAGTAAAGGAAACAAGGCCAGAGTATGAGAAGCTGATGGGGTAGCCAAGAGCTAGATCACGTTGCTCAGAAGGAGTCGGGATTTTATTCTGAGCGTACTGTAGTGTCCAAGCAGGGGAGTGAGGCTATAGCATCTGAGTTTGTGAAAGATGGCTTAGTTGTGTGGAGAATGGACTGAAGAGAGACAAGAGGAGAATCTGGGGGACCCACGTGCTGCTGAAGATATCCTGTTGAGAGAAGATGGTGACTTCAACGAGGTGGTGGGAGCAGAAGTGAAGTGGACAGAAGATGAAACAGACCAAGTCTCTGGTGTCCATTGCCTGGAGCAAGAAATTTCACTTGGGATGATTGGATGAACTTCAGGGGGCCAATGAGGCCCCTGTAACTGTATAAAAAAACTTTGTGTCTACGTGCTTGAAAAAGGTAGACCTTCCATTAGGATTCATAGGTAAAGAAATAACACTCAAAGTGATAGATATTCTTCATTCACAAGACTCAGTGCCTGAGGCCAGGGTATGAAACCATCAGAACCACCATTAAAAGACACCTGAAGCTACAATAAAATAATAAATTAAAAAAAAAAAGGAGGAAAACGGCAAGTGTTGGCAAGTATGTGGAGAAACTGGAAGATTTATACATTACCGGTGGGAATGTAAAATGGGGTAGCCGCTGTGGAAAATAGTTGGGTGGGTCCCCAAAAGTTAAACATTAGAATTATCATTTTAGCGCAATTTCACTCTTAGGTATATACCCCAAAGAACTGAAAACAGAGACTCAAATATATCCTTGTAGGTTACTGTTCATTGCGGCAGTATTCACAATAGCCAAAAGGCAGGAGCAACCCAAGTGCCCCTCAGGTGAGGAATGGATACACCAAATATATGTATGTTCAACCAGCACATCCTTCAGCCTCGGCGGAGTTCTGACACAGGCTACGGCATGCATGCACCTTGAAAATACTGCTAAGGGAAATAAGCCAGACAGGAAAGGCTAAGTACCGTAAAGCTCAACGTGCATGAAATACCTAGGGTAGGCAAATTCATAGAGACAGAAAGTAGATGAGAGGTTACCAGGCCCACCCAGAGGTTGGGGACCTATTGCTTAATGGTTATAGAGTTCCCTTGTGCTCATGGAAAAAATTCTGGAAACATACTGCAGTGACGGTTGCACAACACTGTCAGGGTAATCAATGCCACTGAACTGTAAACCTGAAAATGGTAAAAATCACACGCATCACAGGAGCAAACAGCTGCAAGCACGGGTAGTCTGGGCAAACGACATGTTTGAGGTGATGTTTAGGGAAAACTACCCACAGATGATCACGAGCTTGCAGTTACGAGCAAGATTTCCACACTCAGGAAGGAGAGGAAAAGCTTCTGGAAAGCTCTGGGACCCACTTCCCAGACTCTGGAGCCAATGCCTGGTTTGGACTCTTGGCTCGGTGGCCTTGGGGACCTTTCTGTGTCTCAGTCTCCCTGGATGTAAAATGTCTGTACTACTGGTACCTTCTGCTAGGGTTGCTTTGAGGATTAAATAAATTAATCAACAAGATGGGATTGGGAGGGAGACAAACCATAAGTGACTCTTTTTTTTTTTTTTTTTAAGATTTTATTTACTTATTTGACAGAGAGAGATCACAAGCAGGCAGAGAGGCAGGCAGAGAGAGAGGAGGAAGCAGGCTCCCTGCCGAGCAGAGAGCCCGATGCGGGGCTCGATCCCAGGACCCTGAGATCATGACCCGAGCCGAAGGCAGCGGCCTAACCCACTGAGCCACCCAGGCGCCCCCCATAAGTGACTCTTAATCTCACAAAACAAACTGAGGGCTGCTGCGGGAAGGGGGGTTGGGAGAAGGGGGGTGGGGTTATGGGCATTGGGGAGGGTATGTGCTATGGTGAGTGCTGTGAAGTGTGTAAACCTGGCGATTCACAGACCTGTACCCCTGGGTATAAAAATATATGTTTATAAAAAAAAAAATAAATAAATAAATAAATAAGTTAATCAGGTAAAAGTCATCAGTTCTCGGGACCCAGCAACTGCTCTGTGTTAGCTACTCTTATTTTTAACTTTTTTTTTTTTTTAAATGGAAATAAATGTGGATTGTGGGGGTAAAAAAAATCTAAGAAAAAAATAAAAATCCCCTAATTCTACTACCCAGTAGTAATCCCTGCTAACCGTTTATTGCCATTTCTTCCACAAGTCTCCGTCCGCAAACGCACAGGCTCAGAGCGCCGCCAGCACACCTCCTCCGCAGGGTGCGCGCCGCGGCCTGCGCACCAAGACAAAGAAGTTCACCGAAGCGCAGCAGGCCACGGACTCCGTCACCCAAAACCACCGCCCCGACTGCCGCGTGCGCACTCCACGCTGGGGAAAGGAAGCGTCGCAGGGCCTTCCCCCAAGCGGAAGTGATGTCAGCACATGCGCAGTGACGACGAGGAGGCCGACGGAAAGTAAGGGCCGGCTTGCGTGCGAGCTGGTTTCCGGAAGTGGTGCTGCGGCAGCATGCTTGAGGAGCTGGGTTTAATCGGGACCATAGGTGAAGATGACGAGGTGCCGGGGGATCCTGAGTCTGACTCCGGGGACGAGGAGGAGGAGGTATGAGCCGATCGGGTTGGGGGCGCGGCGGCGTGCAGTCGGATTTCCGTGACTGCTTCCGTTCTCCGAGATTCCTCGGGCCCCTGCCCCTCGCTGCTCCTCAGCATCCTCCTGCCAAGCCGGCAAGTGTCCCTGGAAGGAGAACCCAAGATCTTCCTCGGTTTGGTCGCCACTCGTTTTCAACCCTCACCTCTGCGTCTGTGCCGGCAACGCGCCGTGTTGTCTTGGCGAACCCGGTCCCCCTTCACTGATGTTGAATCCAGGCTCTATGTGATAGAGATCCAGGGGCGAAGCCAGACGTGGTTCCTGATCAGGGGTTTGTTCATTAAGCCAGTATTTATTGACGTGAAGGTATCTGTAGGCTACACCTAGTGGTCAGCGTTCAGGACATAGCAGTGTACGAGATGGGCAAGGACACCACTCTTCTGAAGCTTATGCTGGGTGTGAGGCTTACAGACATGAAGCGGTGTGGCAATTACAAGAGGAACAGTGTCATGAAGAAGGTGCTCACCCTACAAAGATCCAGCCCGGGTGTTTGCCCCACTGTGGCCTCATCTGCCCACACACACCTCCACCCTGGTGTCCCATGGCCTCCACGAATTCAGCTTCACCAAAGCTGAACTCGGGTCCCCCTCCCTTCCCAACCTGCTTGGTCTAGAGCCAGAAACCTAAGCGCCATCCTTGACAGCTTCTTTTTCACTCCCCTCCAGTTTCGTTCAGGCTAGCTCAGCTCTTTAACTTCTCCCCCTTTCTCCTAGCCCACCCTAGCCCAGGCCACTGCCACCTTGTGCCTGGACACCCAGCATCCTAAGGAACCTGGTCTCCAGCTCTTTTTCTTGCTCCTCCTCCCACCCCACCCCATTCACTACTTAGCAGCTAGACTGATCTTTTCATTTCTTGAATGGAAAACTATCATTAAAAAGGACTGGAGCAGGGCACCTGGGTGGCTCATTTGGTTAAGCGACTGCCTTTGGCTCAGGTCATGATCCTGGAGTCCCAGGATCGAGTCCCACATCAGGCTCCCTGCTCAGCGTGGAGTCTGCTTCTCCTGCTGACCCTCTCCCCTCTCATTCCCTTCTCATACTCTCTCTCTCAAGTAAATAAATTAAATCTTTCTTTTTTTTTAAAGATTTTTATTTATTTATTTGACAGACAGAGATCACAAGTAGGCAGAGAGGCAGGCAGAGAGAGAGGAAGAGAAGCAGGCTCCCCGCCAAGCAGAGAGCCCAGTGTGGGCTCTCTGGGATCATGACGTGGGATCATGACCCGAGCCGAAGGCAGAGGCTTTAACCCACTGAGCCACCCAGGTGCCCCAAATAAGTAAAATCTTTAAAAAAAAGGACTGGAGCAAATATGGCCAACGATAATGCCAAAGTCAAAATATGAAGTGCTGTATGGCTATCAATAGTTCAACTAAGTACCTGAGAAACAATATATATATGTAATGATTAATAATAATAAACTTTAGGGTGAGAGTTCTTATGAGACTGTTTAACTCAAATGAGGAAAAAAAGGTCAGTGTAGCATTTTCTAGTCTCAGAAGCCATAAAAAAATCAGCCAGTCTTCCTTCCTTTCCGGTTTTTAGATGTATGGGTTTTTGTCATTGGTTTCTAATTTCATTGAATTGCTGGAAGAGAAGAGAGTCTGTATGATATTGATTCTTTGAAACCATGTGATCAGTTTCAGCACCTACTCCATGTTTGTTCAGAACGTGCGCTCTCTAGGAGCACATGCAGCTCTGTGTGTTCACAGGAATGAAGCTTGTTGATTGTGCTTTTCAGATTTTTTACACGTCTTCTTAATCTGTCAGTTACTGGGAGAGCCGTGTTAAAATCTCCCATGACAATTGTAGATTCCTGTTCTGTGTTCTTTCATCTCAGCTCGTAGTCATCCTGCTTCTCCTTCTTCCCAGGGGCCCATCGTGCTGGGCAGAAAGCAGAAAGCCTTGCAGAAGAACCGCAGCGCCGATTTCAACCCTGACTTCGTTTTCACTGAGAAAGAGGGGGCATACGATGGCAGCTGGGCCATGGCTGAGGTCATGAGCCAGCTCAAGAAGAAGGTGAGATCAGACAGTGATAGCCAGCTCCAGGCCGTGGGCTTAGGGTTGGACAGTAGGTTTCGGGATGTAACTGCACTACCTTTTGCTGTCTGCTTACATTCAGCATATGCCGGAACTCTTGGAAATACGAGGTGTAGTTTTTTTTTTTTTTTTTTTTTAAGATTTATTTATTTATTTATTTGACAGAGATCACAAGTAGGCAGAGAGGCAGGCAGAGAGAGAGAGAGAGGAGGAAGCAGGCTCCCTGCAGAGCAGAGAGCCCGATGCGGGGCTCGATCCCAGGACCCTGGGATCATGACCTGAGCCGAAGGCAGAGGCTTTAACCCATTGAGCCACCCAGGCGCCCCCGAGGTGTAGTTTTGATGGGGTGGGGAGAAGCGGTCGCAAATAACGCCCAGTCTTGATTCAAACCAAAGTGTAAAACGTTGCAGCAGAAATCCATTACAGACCAGTTACAAACACATTAATTGATCTACAGATGATATTTTAAAGTATCAGAAATACCTCATTTCTTCGTTAGAAGAGGTCCATGATGGCTTTTCCTGAAGGAGAGCATGGCGAACTCAGATTAACTTTAGTATATATATTAAGGGAGACCCTTCCTGATATTATACACACTAAAATATGGGGGAAAAAAAGGTTTTAGAGGAAATCTGATAATACCGGTCTAATGGTTGAAGAATACCAAATATTACATACAAATTGCTTGACTTAGAAAAAGATGGGCATATTTATGTTAAAATGGTCTCTTTTTTTAGGTGTTTTCTCCTTGTTTTGAATACTAGAGAGAAAACTTTGTTACATGAGTTTGTAACAAAGATCAGTCTAGCATGTACCCTTTGGCAGTAGCGTTTTGGTCAGCCCCACAGATACTGTCATTCTGTCGCTTGCCAGGTGATGTCACTGTTTAGGTCCCTGTTTCCCACACAGAGTAGCCAAAGCTGCCACAGATGTTACCATCATCTGCTTATTTGCCAAGATCCCTTGTTTTCCTTTGAGTCTGCTGAGCAAGCTAGAAGATGCATCCACATTATTTTCCATTTCATGGGCCTCAAAGAAAAATACTTCACTCCACTCTGTTAGTGTTCTGATTCAAATAAACTAGCATAGCCTCTTCATGGTCACCTGGACAGGATTTCTTTCTGACTTTTTTCCTTTTCAGTACTTTTTCAGAGAATGCCAGAGAAATTGTTCTTTTTCAAATTAATTAGGAGGTGTTTGTTCCTCCGGTCCATGTTCTGAGGAAAGTTCACTCTAGGTTCACTTTACAGATACTATGTTTGTTCCCAGGTCCTGGCATATAGACCCCATGTAATTAAAGACTCAGTCTTATGAAGCTTACAGCCCAGCAGGGTCGAAGATAAGTAAACAAATAATCACACAGTTAATTGTAGTTGTGGCAAATGCCGTGGCAGTTCAGGGTGCTTCAAGCGTATGTAAAGGAGGCCTGCCATTGCTTACCCTTTCTAAAAGTTACAGCAGTATCCAGCATCACTGGAGTTTGCTTCGATTTCGGCATTTAATTGCCGGCTAAATTCTGTCTGATTGGCATGGGGAAAGGTTTTTCTAAGTAGCATTCAGATATAAATGGGACATCTCTTGGTATTTCTTTTCTTCTAAATAGTAAACACTTTCTAAAATGTGGATGTTCTTCTTAGCTCCAGGTAAAGATGTTTCGCACTTGACTATTTTTTTTTTTAAGATTTTTATTTATTTATTTGACAGAGAGAGATCACAAGTAGGCAGAGAGGCAGGCAGAGAGAGAGGAAGGGAAGCAGGCTCTCTGCTGAGCAGAGAGCCCGATGCGGGGCTCGATCCCAGGAGCCTGGGATCATGACCTGAGCCGAAGGCAGAGGCTTAATCCACTGAGCCACCCAGGCGTCCCAGCACTTGACTATTTATTTATGTTGTTCTGTTGTTGTTGTTGTGGATAATCTGCAGATTGATTCACCTGTCCAAGGACAGACAGGCCCCTTCTATATTAACACTGGAGACCCAACCCTCACAGAAGATTTGCTCTGTCTCTTTCCTTGTATATACTTCTTATCCATCTAATCTTTATTGCAGAGGGCAGCCACTACATTAGATGAGAAGATTGAGAAAGTTCGCAAGAAAAGGAAAACAGAGGTGAGAAAGCAAAGCAGGTACTTCTCTGTGTAAAGCCCTGAGCTTGGCCCTCTCCACACGACCCCACCATTTTCCTTTAAGCCAGAGTTGGGAGTGCGGCGGCGCAGACAGGCTTCTCTGTGTGTCTGTCGGTAAGAATCACTGAGTCCGCAGAGCGCTCCGCACAGGCTGGAGGGCATGGTGTTACTCTTCAGAAGTTCTGGATTTCCTGAAGTTTGCGGTCGCCTTACTTTACTGTGATATTTTTTGCAGGATAAAGAAGCCAAGTCTGGGAAGTCAGAGAAGGAGAAAGAAGCAAAGGAGGCCTCGGAACCGGAGGAGCAGGAAGACCCTGAAGGGAAAGATGAGGACAGGCCAGAAGATGAAGACTCAGAGACCGATTACTCATCAGCTGATGAGAACATCCTCACCAAAGCAGGCAGGCGCTCCGGCCGCGCTGTCAGGAACGGGGACAGGAAATGGGAAAGGGTCTGCCTTTCCTCTGTAGGATTCTCTATGTTCTTCTGTGCAGTCACATTTAAGAGCTCCCTGTTGAACTCCTCTAGCTTCTCTTTTTTCTTGGGGTTT